CAGCCAGTGAGCAAACCGGCCATCCCTATATAGGATCTGAACCCGTGGCCTTGGTGTCATCAGCACTGCACTCTACCGAGTGAGCCACGGGCCGGCCTAGCATGGTATATTTTTCTCCATCCTTTTACTTCTAATCTATCTGTGTCTTTGTACTTATATTGGAATTTTTGTAGACAACATATATTTGGATCTTTTTTTCTAATTCACTGTAACAGCCTCTGTCTTTAAATTTAGACCATTCACATTTACAGTGATTATTGATATAGTTGGATTAATATCTACCATATTTATAACTGTTTTCTACTTGCTACACATGTTCTTTTACCTTTGCCTCTTTTTCTTTTTTTCTTTTATCTTTCCCCTTGCCCTCTCTGGTTCTGATTGAGCATTTTATATAATTTCATTTTCATTTCTCTCTAACAATATCCATTATACTTCTGTAGAAGGATTTTTAGTGGTTAGCTTAGTGCTTGCAATATACATTTACAATTAAACTAAGTCTAGTTTCAAATAGCATAATACTGCTTTATGGGTAGACAGATGCATTATAACAGAGTATTTACAAATTATCCATCATATCCCTTACAACAGTGCTGTCATTCATTTTACTTATCTGTATGGTATAATCACCCAACACACTGTTGCTGTTATTACTTTGAAAAATTAGTTACTTGGGGCTGAGCCCATGGCGCACTCGGGAGAGTGCGGCGCTGGGAGCGCAGCAGCGCTCCCGCCACGGGTTCAGATCCTATATAGGGACGGCCGGTGCGCTCACTGGCTGAGCGCGGTTCGGCCAGTCTCAAAAAGGACAAAAAAAAAAAAAAAGAAAAATTAGTTACCTGATAAATCTATTAAGAATTTAAAAAATAGAAGATTTTCTTTCATCTTCATTTATTCCTTCTCTGATGCTCTTCCTTTCTTTATGTAGAGCCAAGTTTTTCATATACATTATTTTTCTTGTTTCCAAAGAACTTTTATATTTATTTATTTATTTATTTATTTATTTATATTTTTATTAATTTTTTTTTAATTTTTAATTTTTATTTTTTTTTTGTCTTTTTTCTGTGTCCAGCAACGGATCGCAACCCTCAGTGTTGCCCCCGTACCGGACCGGGGACCAGCAATGGGATCGCAACCCTCGGTGTTGCTCCCGCGCCTCGCTCAGCCAGTGAGCGGGAACCGGTCTGTATGTGGGATCCGAACCCTCGGGCGGGAGCGCCGCCGCGCTTCCCAAGCGGCGCACTATCCAGTGCGCCGCTGGGCCGGCCCTATATTTTTATTTTTAAAGATGATTGGTAAGTGGATCTCAACCCTTGGCTTGGTGTTGACAGCACCATGCTCAGCCAGTGAGCCAACCGGTCATCCCTATATAGGATCCGAACCTGTGGCCTTGGTGTTATCAGCACTGCACTCTCCCAAGTGAGTCACAGGCTGTCCCTTTATTTTTATTTTTATTTTATTTATTTATTTAATTTTTTTTTAAAAAGATGACCAGTAAGGGGATCTTAACCCTTGACTTGGTGTTGTCAGCACCACGCTCAGCCAGTGAGCGAACCGGCCATCCCTATATGGGATCCGAACCTGGGGCCTTGGTGTTATCATCACCGCACTCTCCCGAGTGAGCCACAGGCCGGCCCTTTATTTTTATTTTTTAACATCTCTTGCAAAGCAGCTCTACTGGTAACAAATTCCTTCAGTTTTTTTCTGAAAAAGTCTGTTTCTCAGTTTAAAGAGTAATTTTGCTGTATACAAAATTCTAGGTTGGTGTTTTTTTCTTTCAGTGTTTTAAAAATTTCACTCTAGGGGCCGCCCGGTGGCGCACTGCTACAGTGCACCGCTTGGGAAGCGCGGTGGCGCTCCCGCCGAGGGTTCGGATCCCACATACAGACCGGTTCCCGCTCACTGGCTGAGCGAGGTGCGGGCGCAACACCGAGGGCTGCGATCCCGTTGCTGGTCCGGTCCGGTACGGGCGTGACACTGAGGGTTGCGATCCGTTGCCGGACATGAAAAAAGACAAAAAGGAAAAAAAAAATTTCACTCTATTCTCTTCTTGCTTACATGGTTTCTGACATGAAGCCTGTAGTAACTTATATCTTGTTCCTCTGTAAGTAAGGTGTTTTTTTTCCTCGGGCACCTTTCAACATGTTCTCTTCATCTTTGGTTTTCTGTAGTTCGAATATGATATGCCCAGGTATAGATACTTTGGCATTTATCTGATTTGTATTCTCTGAACTTCCTGAACCTGTGGTTTCAGGTCTGCCACTAATTTTGGGAAATTCTTAGTTATTCTTACTTCAGATACTTCTTTTGCTTCTTTATCTTTTTCTTTTCCCTTTGGTTTTCCCATTACATGTATTTACACCTTTTGTAATTGTCTTACAGTTTTCGGATATTCTGTTCCTTTTTAAAAATTCTTTTTTTCTCTTTGCATTTCTATTTGGGAAGTTTCTATTGTCATACTTCAAGCTTGCTTATTTTTTCTCACCCAGGTCCAGTCTACTGATGAGCTCACCTGTCTTTGTCCTTTTGGACTTCTGTAACAAAATACCATAGACTAGGCAATTTATAAACAACAAAAATTTATTGCTCACAGTTCTGGAGGCTAGGAAGACCAAGATCAAGGCACCAGCAGTTGTGGTATCTAATGAGGGTATGTTCTTCATAGATGGCACCTTCTCACCGCATTCTTATAGGGTGGAAGAAGTGAACAAGCTCCCTCATGCCTTTTTCCTAAGGGCTTGAATATCATTCATGAGGGAGGAGTCCTCATGACCTAATCACTTCCCAAAGGCCCCATCTCTTACCACCACCACATTAGGGATTAGGTTTCAAGATATGAATTTTGGGGGGACAAAACATTCAGACCATAATACCATTAAACCTTAATTAATTCTTCATCTCTGTTACAGTGTTTTTAATTTCTTTTTTTTTTTTTTCTTGACCGGTAAGGGGATTTCAACCATTGGTTCAGTGTTGTCCGCACCACACTCAGCCAGTGAGTGCATCAGCCATCCCTGCATAGGATCAGAACCTGTGGCCTCGGCACTACCAATGCCGTACTTTCCCGAGTGAGCCACAGGGCCAACCCAGTGTTTTTAATTTCTAGATTTTCCTTTTGATTCTTTCTTTGAGTTTCCATCTCTTTGCTTATACTATCCCTCTGTTGTTGTGTGTTATCTACTTTTTGCTTTAGAGCTCTTAACATACTAATCATAGGTACTTTAAGTTCCTAATCTGATAATTCCAACATCTGTGTCATATCTGAGTCTGGTTCTAATGCTTGCTTTGTCTCCTTAGGCTATGATTTTTCTTGCCATTTAGCATGCCTTGTAGTTTTTTGTTGAAAGCTGGACATGATGTATATAGAAATTGATGTATATAGAGATTGATGTATATAGAAATTTTGAGTTGTAGAAATTAGGGTAATTAGGCTTTTAGTGTGAGGTTTTGTATTGATCTGGCTAGGAGTCAGGCTATGTTTAATGTTTGCTATAGTGTAGGTATTAGAGACTCCAGTTTCCTTTTTCCCCCTCTCTTCTGTTGCCTTAGGTTTTTCCTAAAAACTCCTTAAATAAAATATGTGTCTTGCATTTCTCTCGGTTGTGATCCATTGTTATTGTACTGAAGTCAAGTCACTGGCTGCTATTCCAGGTAAAGTGATATGTACTGTGATTCTCCATATTAATTTGTCTCTCCATATTTGGAGTGGTGGTTTGCCTTGTAAACTCAAATCTTTAGTGAATCTAAGAAAAGTCTTTAATTTTCAGATTGTTCAGCTTTTTTCTTCTTGTGAGGATAGAAGTGATGACTTCCAAGCTCTTAACATGTCCCACCCTGGGCATTTTAAATGGGAGATGTCCCTATATTTATGCCCCCATATTCATGTGGCTTGTTAACTGGAGGCAGGTGTGAAAGGGTTTTGTACCAAGGGCACACTTTTTTCAGGCATCATTCTGTCTGGAGCTTTGAACACACCAGGGTCTTCATTGAAATTGTTAGCTGAATCATCTGGTTTAGAATACTTAAAGGATTTGTTTTTAAAAGAACTTTATAGAGACAAACCAAATGCTTCATTGAGAAGACCTGTACCTACAATGCAGAATGAATCAAATGCTGTTTCTTACCACCTACTAGATAGTGTTCTAGGCAGTTAGCTTAAACATAAATATGGATTATAGTAAAATAACTTTACCCTCCCAGTTAAGTGACTTGGGAGAATGTAGCCCAAGGAAATAAATAAAACACAAGTTTATTGTATTATTGATTGGAAAGTTGGAAACCACATGCTCTCCAGCAACGGGAGCATTAAGTAGCATCTATCCATATGATAAAATATTACCTAGCTTTTAATTTATGAAGTAAACTAATAAAGACTTATTGATTGGAAAGTTGGAAACCACATGCTCTCCAGCAACGGGAGCATTAAGTAGCATCTAGCCATATGATAAAATATTAACTAGCTTTTAATTTATGAAGTAAACTAATAAAGAAATTTCTTATAATATTAAGTAAAAGAACCAGATTAAAAAGTATATGGTTGATATGATCATGATTGTATAAAAATATTCACAGAAATTATACGAAGAAATGCACAAAAATATTAAGTGTTTGTTTGTCTTTGGTGATAGAATTATAGATGACTTTTTCTTTATTCATCTATTCTCTATTTTCCTAATACATATTCCTCATTGAGCATGTATTACTTTTTCTATAGACAAAACAAACTTTATTAAATAAAATATGTATCTGTGCACAACTGTAAGTGATGTACTGGTCTAACTATAGGGTTGTTTTCATGTTAATTTGGATGCCTCCACAACAGGAAATGATGAAGCCGTCAACTGGTAGTGGCTAGAAGAAATCGCTTTTAGCGTTATTCTGCCTGAATTCTGTTCCTATGTCAGTTTGCTTCAGAATTATTTTTTATGTTCTTCTTCCTTCTCACGTATTTCTTGTCTGCAGGGTATCTCAATTTTTTCCCTCCTCATTATAATTCCCAGTTATTGTCTATGGATCCCCACCTGTTGCATACGGAGCCCTCCCTGCAGGATATGGAGCCCAACCTCCAGGATATGGAGCCCCACCCCCCGGATATGGAGCCCCACCTCCTGGATATGGAGCCCCGCCTTCTGGATACGGAGCCCCGCCTGCTGGATACGGAGCCCCACCCCCTGAATATGGAGCTCTGCCTCCAGGACATGGAACCCCGCCTCCCGGATACCAAGCCCCTTCCACTGGATATGGAGCCCTGCCTGCCAGAAACGAGCTCCCTGCTGCTGGATCTGGAGTGGAGCCTCACAGCACTGTGGCAGCCCAGACTCCTGAATATGATGCTTCTCTTCCCTCTGCCTCATCTACTCAGGCTCATTCCCCACCTTCTAAGATGTAAACTCGAAGATTCACCAAGCAAAGTGGCACCCTAAAATTAAAGTCAGGTTAAAGAGGAGGACTGAAGTACGTGATCATGGGCCAGTCCCAGGTAGTTTTCCCACCCCATGGAAGCAATCTTATGGGGAAGGTGAAGCGTTACTTCCATGCTAGATTTTTGAAGCAGAGTCAATTCTTGATTAACTTGGCTAAGGGGAAGTAGCATTGTAGGGCCAATTCCTCAATAACTTGATTGACATTGGGCTGCATTTTTAAACATCCTTTGAATGTGAGTGTGGAAAAAGCTTCCTGTCTTTCTTCCTATTCCCATTCAAGAAACATTTATAGGGCTGGCCAATTAGCTCAGTTAGTTAGAACAGGGTGTTATAACACCAAGGTCAAGGGTTTGGATCCCGGTACCTTCCAGTTACCAAAAAAAAAAGAAGAAAAAGAAACATTTATTATGCTCTGTTTTCCAGACACTATGGTATTTGCTAAAAAATATCACTTAAAACACTTAGTTATTTTTCAAAACATTATTTATATTAGTGAAAGGATAGAACAACTCAGATTTCCAGTAGTGAGAAAGAATTTTATAAGTAATTGTACATTTATACAATGCAATTATTATGTAGCCACTGACAATGATGTCTAGAGAGAGAGAAAGCCTTCTTTGCAACTCAGATTTCCAGTAGTGAGAAAGAATTTTATAAGTAATTGTACATTTATACAATGCAAGTATTATGTAGCCACTGACAATGATGTCTAGAGAGAGAGAAAGCCTTCTTTGAGAACAAAAACATGAAGCAATAAAGGAAAATCTGACTATATCAAAATTTAAAGCTTCTGTATGACAAAAGTTAAAAGATAGGCAACAGACAGGAGAAAGTAATTTTCAGCATATATATTAAACAAAAATAATTTATAGTCAGAATATATAAAGAACTACAGAACAACCCAAAGGAATAGAAATTAACAAAAGATATGAATTGCCAATTAACCAAGGCAATAGGATGGCCAAGAAACATTTGAAAAGATGTTCAACTTGACTAGTTTTAGGGAACTGCCACTTGGAATGAGAAGCCATTTTTATCTCCAAAGATTTATGAATTAAGGTTACATAACAGAACCACCCCCTTAGTTGAATATTCATTAGGTATCATGAATATGTGTTAGATAGCAAAACTATAGACGTGGAATCCTGGTAGAAGGCAGGGCTGTTGTTCACTCTCTTGGGGCCAGTCCATACTTCCCTTGAGGTGTGTATTTCTTTTTGTATCAAACTTGCCTTTAGCAAGCTCTGCTCACTCTAGAGCCAGCCTGTACTTTGTCTGTGAATGTATATTTCTTACTTTTGTAAACTTAGTGTGGGCCCTGCACTGTCTCTGGAGCTAGGCCGCACTTTCTCTGTGAAGTCTGTATTCATATCTGTTACATTGAGCCTGTTTTCACTTTCCAAAAAAAAAAAAAAAAACAGATTTATGAATATTAAAGCTCTTGATGTAGCAGTTTAACATGTCAATATCTACCCCTGAGTAATACTTGCACATACATGCACAAACTTGCATATGGGAGGATTCCATTCCATTCATTTTTTAACAGTGCAAAATTAAAAATAACCTATATGTCCTTTAATAAACTATGGTAAACCCATGCTACATAGGCAAAATTTTTAAGGCTTTTTGTTAAATGAGAAAAGCAAGTTATAGGGAGTATGTATTAATGTGATTTTCAACCTCATCAGACTGAAATAACAAACATTTATATTCGTATATTTATAACAAATATTTTGTAATGTCTCCTTTACTTCAGTTCAGTGAAATTTGTAGACAATTGCACATGATTCCACACCATTTCGGCAAAAATCAATATAATACCATAAATGTGATGTAAAGAGGAAATAAAAGTAGTTTATAGTAAATTTTTAAGTATTTAATATATAAATGCTCAAATTTTACCACACTAGAAGCCAAGTGCTCACCCCACTATATGTCGATTCACCATAGGTATAAACATTAGCAATGCTAACTGATATGTTGTATTGTTGACATGAATACCATGATATTGGCAATGTTGTTTTCCAAAATGGTAAATAATCCTTGAAAATTTTCCAAATAAAACAAAGTTTAGTTTTCCATTGACTTACACAGTGATCGAATTCTTGAAAAGTTCTACATATGTTAAAATTATGTAAAATAGAGTTAGGCTGTAGGCTTAAATGATCATAAACATGTGTTTCACAAACATCAATGGCCAGAGTCCACTTGAAAGTCATGGCGGGGTGTAGGACAATCCTTTATGAGGGACTACCATATGCCTTTCAGGATGTCTAGCATCTTTGACCCCCGCATCTATTAAATGCTAGTAGTGGCCTCTAATGGTGGCCCCACTTATTTCCTAATTGCCCCCTGGGCGACAGTACCATCCCTGCTGAGAACCACTATTCTAGACTATTCTGAACTATTCCAAGGTTTTCAGCCACTTCAGAGCTCACCATTCTCCTACTCTGGCCACATTCCTAATTTCATTGGCCTTTCCCTATTTTCTTATAGGCTCATTAACCACCTAAAAGTGAGGCCTTAAAAATATTATAGTGGGGCCGGCCCGGTGGCGCACTGCTACAGTGCGCCGCTTGGGAGTGCGGCGGTGCTCCCGCTGAGGGTTCGGATCCCACATACAGACCGGCCGCTCACTGGCTGAGCGAGGTGTGGGCGCAACACTGAGGGTTGTGATCCCGTTGCCGGTCCCGGTCCGGTACGGGCGTGACACTGAGGGTTGCGATCCGTTGCCGGTCACGAAAAAAGACAAAAAGGAAAAAAAAATATTATAGTAAGTATTTTTAGGTATTATATAGCAGGAGGGTTTCAGAAGCTCTCTGTCCACAATATTATGGGACCCAGAAGACATTTAAATCAATATTTTTCTAAGCGTATTTTGAAATTAAAAGAGAATTTTTTATGAGAATATAAAATTCTTTTAAAATATTTTTATTTATTTTTTATGCTATATGTACAGTGTTCCACCTGACATTATTTTACATTTTCATAGGTTTTTAAAAACTTCTCCTGAATATCGTTAGAGGCTACATAATATTCTATAACACAGTCGTACCATAACGTATTTTCTCAACCCCTATTTTAACATATTTGAGTTGTTTCTAGGTTTTTGCTATGACAAATAACTTTGTGATTAACTTCTTTGTGTATAGAGCTTTTTAAAAATTTTGGATAATTTCCTTAAAGCAGGTTAGAGTCATTGATTGATCCTAATTGTAAAAATTAGTAAACCAGATGTTTCTATGTTCTCAAGGACAGCCTTTCTGAAGGAAGTCAAGTGGATATTAACGGGTATTATATGAAAAGGGGGTTGCTGGGCCAAATATAATGGAAAAAGCCAGGGAAACTGGTTTCTTTACTTCATGACTTCTCAAAGCCTTGAATATCTAATAAACATCATAAATCTCCAAGAGGGAGAGATTTTCAAAATTTATGTTTTTTTCAAAATTATTTGACCTTAGAGTATTTTATTCACTAAATATTTTGGAAAAACTGTTATTCAGTGGAACAAACTTTGGGAAACACTTTCTGGAATGATGAGATATTAGAATTAGAATGGACTTAAGGTGTCTCTAGCACGCTAGACCTTTAAAGGTCTTTCCAACAATGACGACAAGTCAAAGACCACTCTTCCTCCCATTCCAAGAAAAAGAGCTCCATGTCCAGTTTACAGAGAATGGGAGATCTTCTTGAAAAAGATGTATGGTAATACAGAAAGTAGCTACTACTTCCTCTTAGAAACTACTGGTATAGAGTCATGGGTTTAGGAAGCTGGGGTGTGAATAGCATAGGCATGAAGGGAAGAAGTAAAAAGGGAAAGTAAAAAGGTGTAAGTGTTTTCTAAGGGTTCCAAACAGGGAATACAGACCATACTGGATCTTAAATGTGGGTCACAGAACCTGGCTCTTTTCCCTAAAGTTTTTGGAAGAAAATGACAAGATTTTTTTCTTATAAGCGTTTCTTCTTTTCTCAGTTCCAAACCACTGTCATGGGCAAAGTGATAAGGAGAGGAAGAGAGGAGAGATTCATCAAACTAGAGCAGTAATAAGGTTCCCCTCATTCAGCTTTTCAGTCTGCTGGAAAGTGATGGTGAGTTGGGAACAGGGTAAATGGGTAAGGACTCTTTTATACTGGAATAGTTCTCTGAATAATATCTAGCAAACATTCTGGGATTAGAATTCTAAAAGTGTAAAAACTAGACTTTCTCTTCTCTTATTATAGTTGTACTTGTAGCAGATGGATTTGAGGTAAGGTCCAATTACCTAAAAAGGGTAGCAGGCCCAACTCTCTTGAAGGTGGAATTCCATCATGTTCTTCCTGCAAAGGGTTCCTGTTCATCTGGTCCACCAAACTGCCCCAATACAACCAAAGGCTGTGACTGCATAGGGATGGGACCAAGTAGAACCATAGTGGATGCTCATCAGCCTGCTGGAGCAGAGCCTTCCTGGCTCAACTTCCCTGTAGGAATCAGGGAGAAAATGTATAGCTGGTGTGATTTTTCAATCCATAGATTAATATGTGCAATAAATATTGTATGTCTTTGTTTTCCTTAAATTTAATTCTGTTACCAAGACTCCCACCCATCATCTGCCTTGTTGGTGGGATTCCCCCAGATTCCAAGATTATAGAGTTTCCAGATTTTATGTAGCACCGATATGCTGAGAAGACCTTTCCAGTCATCAGACTGCTTCAGAAAGAGCCACTGTCTAGTCTTGGCAGGTCCCATCAAGTCTAAGAGCTCGGTTGTTTCCTTGTGACCCCAGAATCTCAGGTGGGGCTTAGAACCTGTGTGTTAGAAATCCAATCCAATGCTATGTAGCATGTTATCCCTGAGGACTGAGGAGCAAGACACCAGTGCCCACTCCATGAGAGACAGTTCTTACCCAGCCTCCCAGATTCTGCTTTCTCACAGCTGTGCTATTGGTCTGCATCCCCCCCATCACTTGAGCACCCATCCTAATCCTAT